GCCCGCGGTCCCGGTTTTCACTGGCCGATTTTCACGGGTCATGGCCGGCCCGTCCGTCTTGACACCTCTACTCAGACTTCCTCCTTAAAAACTTAAGTGAAATGTTGCACATTAATTTATGCTCCAGAGTCGATTCATCCCCGTTTTAAACTTACAACTATTTCAAAGAAATAGAAGTTCAATATTTTACACATCAGAGACCAAGTAATGAAAATGAGTTTTACTTCGATCCAAACTTGCGTTCGATTAGTTAGTCGGTAAAGATAGATCATTGACTTGTTTCCGTCTCGATTCATAGCTCGTCTGGCTTGCATTCACTACTGGGAGTGAAAGCAATGAACTAATAGTTATTGGATGGTTGACGACACGTACTTGGCTAGCGACTAACTCGAAAAAAAACTTGTCGAGTAGTGGTCTAGCTGTTTCTAACGAGTTCAATGGCTAGCTTGTTCAACCACTCAATTGAGGATAGAGAGGTTGAATACTCTTAGTATCTGTTTACCTTTCCACGAACACATCAGAATCACAAATATAGATTCAGTTTGTAAACAAATTCAGAACAATCAACAAACTACAAGGGATACCACGTACAACTCGTTCATCGACCACGAAATTCAGTAGTTTTTGATTTTGTACAAGACGACATTTATCGTATATTTCTTACATTACAGTACATACTCTCCTAACATTTATAGGTAAAACAATAAAATAGAAAGCAAAATAACATTAATAAAATAGAAAGCAAAATAACATTATCATTCTTGTGAATAATCTAATAATGCAAATTTCACTTGCAAGCCAATTTTACCCCCTTCAACCACCAACTTAGCAGCCGTTACCAACCAATGTCCTGGGGTGTCATATGGACCTCGTGCAACCTCGGTTGTATCCACGTATTTAAGTAGCTTCGTAGACCGAACGGGCACGGGTGGACCGTCAGGATATACACCAGAGTTCAGGGTTGCTGGAAGTTGCTTCGGGGCGTCCGTAACTGCCCGTTGGGTGAAT